CTTTTTGTGGGTATTGGACATTATGGAGTGGTAATGTATTGCCAATACAGAGGATTAATTTTTATGAAATTAATTTTATTAAACGTTCCTACATATTTATAATAAGAATTTAATAAATAGAATTTTATTAATTTTAAAATCTTAAATATTAAACATTAGCGTAGAAGATATTGTAGTCCAACAAATAGGTTATTGCAGTTATGTCATTTTCCTATGAGTTCTTTCATTTAATATTTTATGGTTATTTTGGTCTATTTGTACTATTATTTTTGATAATAATATAGGCTCTTTTTCTAAACAAATTTGGACAATATAATATATTCTCAAATTAAATTAGTAATAGGACATTATAATACATTTTCAAATTAAATTAGTAATAGAAATTTTTAAGAAGTATATCCTAAAAGTAATAGGATTACATAACTAAAAATACGTATCTACCCCGAATGTAATTTATCTATCTATATCTATCTATCTAATATCTATATCTTTCGATGGATAATCCTATGTTGGATAAAATTGTCAAAGTTAAAACTTTACCATATTAGGACTTTAAAATTAATTGCAATTATAATTCTAGAATGAAACCGTTTTGCTAATGGCCTCAATTATTTTTTGTGCGTAAATTTTGAACAATGGCAAAAGGTTGTAGCCTATCACTAATTAAGTTAGAAATAACTTAATATTAAGGACTTTGAAGTGAAGTATGAATATATTACCACTTTAAACTTGACATTTTAGTCGTTTTTTGATAAATGGATTTTTTAAAATACTATTCGAAAGTTCCTTTTTTTTTTTATAAACGACATGTAAGTCCCACAATTGTTTGAAGCTTGCTATACACGCTCCTTTTAGATTTTTTTGTACTTAAATTAAACAAAACATAAAAGATGTTGAGATGTATGTACAACGTGTAGTATTATATGGCTATGCCCGAAAGTAATTATACTAAGAGCATTCCTAAAGGTAATCATGTAGGATTCATAATGTGTAGTATTATGTCCTAAAACTAATAGGATTATAAGACTATTATCTAGAATTCCGGTTATATCCTTTTTTTATGAGTTATTATGCTTAATATTCTAAGGTTATTTTTGTAATCCGACATCGTATTTATGCTTTTACAATAATATGGATAAAAAAAGCGAACAACATTTCGTTAAGGACATTCGTGCTTTTAATATAGTATAGATATAAATTTTATTTTTTTCATATGTAACTTTTCCTTAGTGATTTTTTGTTTATTTTTTCCTCCCGTATGTATGTCTTATGTTACATCTATAAATTTTATCTTTTTGGAATTATAAAAATTTTAACTCTTCTCTTAACCAAATTTATAAAAAATTATTTGGTTGATTCATTTTTAACTGCGCGAAGCCCCGATAAGTTAACTAGTTATATATATAAATTTTATACTCCTCTCTTGTTAACTATTTAGAATGGAAGTGCAAGGCACATATGACAAGTTGACGCACATAAAGAGTTTAATTGGAAGCGTTAATTGATATTGAGAAACTTTGAGGAGCAAAAGGTACTTCCAATACATG